TGTATCTCCCATTTTTAGGACCTATCAAGCATTTCATTAATTTGCAAGAAAATAAGAAATGGGGATCATCCCTCCAATAATAATTACCTCACTGATATCAAATAGACATCCCACTCCATAGTTTCTAGCCTTTCTATACACACAATGACTTTTTGTTCTAATGATAAATTATAGTGTAATTTTAAAAAAGCATTTCCAATGGCAGTTAGCTCAGTCACACAGTGTCGACAAAGTACATAGCGGTGAAGGAAAGACGAGGAGAACTGCGGGGACCAGCTTTCTCTTGCCTCTTTTCCCCAACTATCCTGTGAGCTACTTGAGTGCAAGGACTAGGAAAAGCTTTATCCTAAAGCACAGGACTCGGTGCCAGGCAGCAGGTAAGCCAGGAGGCGTTAATGCAATCCTAATAGTCTGTTGACCATGTTCCATGGGCTAAGAGTCGGTGACCTGTGTTTATTTGTAACATACATATTTGAAATCTTCTCTAGCTGTGCCTACTCAGGGATTTACTGTGAGTAAATTGGGACAAATAACGTGCCTTGCGAGCTAACACTAGTTTGGGGTGGTGGAGTAGATAGGAGTGGTATTTATCAATAAAAAGGCTAATTGTGTGATTCTTTGTGAGTTGCTTTCTTGCACATTATGACTGGTTCACTCCCACTCTCCTGGCTAGCTTGTGATTCATCTATCCTTTTTTTCTGGATGATGGCTCCAATCAAATAGAACTCAGTATCCCTAGTCTACTTCCATACCACCCTGAACACGCCTGATCGCCCCTGATCTTGGAAGCTAACCAGGGTCGGACCTGGTTAGTACCTGGATGGGAGAAATCAGCATCCCTGTATTGACTACACTAAAGCCTTTGACTATATGGATCACAACAAACTGTGGAAAATTCTTAAAGACATGGGAATACCAGACCACATGACCTACCTTCTGAGAAACCTGTATGCAGGACAAGAAGAAACAGTTAAAACCAACATGGAACAACAGACTGGTTCAAAATTGGAAAAGGGGTATGTCAAGGTTGTATATTGTTACCCTATTTATTTAACTTATATACAGAGTATCATGTGAAATGCCAGGATGGATGAAGCACAAGCTGAAATCAAGATTCCTGGGAGAAATATCAATAATTTCAGGAATGCAAATGGCACCACCCTTATGGCAGAAAGCGAAGAGATACTAAAGAGCTTCTTGATGAGGGTGAAAGAGCAGAGTAAAAATGCTGGCTTAAAACTCAACTTTCAAAATACTAAGCTCATGGCATCTGGTTCCATCACTTCATGGCAAATGATGGGGAAACAATGGAAACAGAGAGACTTCATTTTCTTGGGCTCCAAAATCATGCAGATGGTGACTGCAGCCATGATATTAAAAGATGCTTGTTCCTTGGAAGAAAAGCTATGACAAACCTAGACAGCATATTGAAAAGCAGAGATATTACTTTGCTGGCAAAGGTCCATATAGTGAAAACTATGCTTTTCCCAGTAGTCATGTACAGATGATGTGAGAGCTGGACAATAAAGAAGGCTGAGCACTGAAGAACTGATGCTTTTGAACTGTGGTGTTGGACAAGACTCTTGAAAGTCCCCTGGACTGCAAGGAGATCAAACCAGTCAATCCTAAAGGAAATCAACCCTGAATATTCATTGGAAGGACGATGCTGAAGCTGAAGCTCCAATAATCTGGCCACCTGATGCAAAGAGCCGGCTCATTGGAAAAGACCCTGACACTGGGAAAGATTGAAAGCAGGAGGAAAAGGGGACAATAGAGGACAAGATGGTTGGATGGCATCACCAACTCAATGGATATGAATTTGAGCAAACTCCAGGAGATGGTGAAGGACATGAAAAAGACTGGCATGCTACAGTCCGTGGGGTCTCAAAGAGTCAGACATGACTGAGTGACTGAACAACAATCCCTTTATTATTATTTACTTGGGGTTTTTTAGTTTGTGAGCGTCTTGATACAAGTCTCTGAGTCTTGTATACTCCAAAAGGAAATGAGGGAAGAAATTATGCTAAGCATATTACAAAAGCATTTCATGAAACAGTGTATTCATTAACACAGAAATTGGAAATATACATTTTAAAAATTGCCAAGGAAATCATTAAACAAATCTCAGTAAGTGTAGAAAATTAGATTTTCGTGATCTGAATTTTAACTCCCAAGTCAAGACAACTTTAACTCCCAACAAGACAGCTATTCAAACAGAAAAGCACTTCACCCAAAGCAATCTCACTGAAATGGAAATGGACATTTTGTAGCCCAAAATATGAAATTTAAGTAGTTATTATATTTCCCAGCTGGAAAGGATAAGGGAAATAATCTTATCTAAATCCCTTTATGTTCATAGGGTTGGAATCATTACAGATCTTTTCATCCTTACAATTCTAATTTTCTTTATAATTTTAACACTATTCATATGAAAACACTGGGTTCCCTAGTGGCTCAGATGGTCAAGAATCCATCTGCAATGCAGGAGACCTGGGTTCAATCCCTGGGTTGGGAAGATCCCCTGGAAGACGGCAGGGCAACCCACTCCAGTATTCTTGCCTGGAGAAATTCATGGAGAGAGGAGCCTGGAAAGAGTCGGACACGACTGAATGACACACACCCTTATGGAAATATTAGTGTTCAAACACTTGATTCACAAAAATAAAACTGTTCATAAACATTTAAGTTGTACTATTTTAAGTTAAATATTTAGATAAATATTCAAATATTTCTTTAGATAAATAAAGTGAAAATATCATTAGAGAAGGTTCCGCCTATATCCCCAACACTGTATAATATATCCATTAAAAAAAATGCAACCAGTGACCCTGGCTAGGAAGATATACAGTTAATAATGTTACTATTCAAAAGCCCTAAAACAAACATCATTTCTTCTAAGATCCAGGGAATGGAGAAAGCAAAGGAAGATCTTATTTTTATGTTAGGGTTCTATGCTTATAAGGGTGTGCAGGATATATTCAAAAATTAAATTTACCTTTTTCTAAAATGCAATTTTAAGTGTCTTTTTTCACATTCTGGTTTTCTAGGAAAATAGAAGTTGTTCCTAAAAGAACACCTTGTTTTAAACCAAATTCTTTATAGGAAACTGACTGCATGTCTAAAAATCCTCCCAAGAAGTAGTTAAATCTAGCAGCAACTTTCCATCACTGAGCGTACTTTCTGTATTTCTTTATTCAGTCTTCCCCAGGCAGTTATTTCTTGAGTTCAGGCTTCTGTTAGATCTCTGTTCTATCTTTCTGTTATGTGCAAGAATCTGGAATATCAATCCAGGGCCTTTAAAAAGGTCTAATTTATGGCTAAAGGAGCCGAGTTGTTGAAGTCAGAAGGTGCCTGGTTGTGTTTCCCTTTCTTTTCAAGTTAGTCCCTCCAGTGGGTCTTCAGACAATGAACAGCCCCATGGAATGGCAATGGCTGGCTACACACCTCCATTAGCCGCACTGCCCCTAACTAAACCCTGCTTCTCAGTTACTTACCTTCAGGTAAAGCTGGAACAGACTAGCAGATCCTGAGTAGGCAGAAAACCAGGAAACAAAATCATTTTCAATTCCTTTGCAGGACGGACAAAAAGTAGAAATATCACACGACAAAAAGTAGGAAAAAAAAAAAGCAAAAACACACTCCAAAAATAACTAGAGCTTTGGTGACCTCTTGTGGGATAATTTATTAGTGTTGTTATGTTATGTTAGATTCTTAGTTGTGTCCAACTCTTTGCAGCCCTATGGACTGTGTAGCCCACCAGGATCCTATGTCCATGGAATTCTCCAGGCAAGAATACTGGAGTAGGTAATCATTCCCTTCTCCAGGGGATCTTCCCAACCTAGGTATCAAACCCAGGTATCCCTCATTTACAGGCAGATTCTTTACCATCTGAGCCACCAGGGAAGCCCCTAATTTATTAGTAGTCTATAATAATAAAACAGTTCCAGAATGGAACCTGAGACAAGTTTTATCTACAGGTCTAGTACACTGATGGGCCTGCTGAGATGCAATGGTCCTGAACTACCTATACATACATGAAGTGTTAATAACTGCATTAGGTTATATGTTCCAGAGAGCTTTTCTGTATATAAACATACATGGGACGGGGGGTAATTTTTTAAAAAGTATTAAATGTATTAAGACATCTTTAAAACTTCTATCCACAGGATAGAGGCAGTCTTAAGATGATGGAGGAATAGGACGGGGAGACCACTTTCTCCCCCACAAATTCATCGAAAGAACATTTGAACGCCGAGCAAATTCCACAAAACAACTTCTGACATCAGGCACCCAGAAAGGCAGCCCATTAAAAGATAAAAGGAGAGCAAAAGAGGTAGGGATGGAGATCCATCCTGGGAAGGGACTCTTGGCTTCCAAATACCAGGAAACACTGTCTGGCAGGTCTGCGGCGAGCCTTGGAACCTCAGAGGGCAAAATAACCAGGAGGAAAAATAAATAAATAATTAAACCCCACAGATTACATGCCTAACAGCAACTCCCAGCGGAGCAGCAGCCCAGACGCTGGCATCCCCAACTAGCAAGCGGGGGCTGGACAGGGAGGCACAGAAAGAAAAACACCAATACAGTATACTAATACATATATATGGAATTTAGAAAGATGGTAACGATGGCCCTGTATGTGAGACAGCAAAAGAGACACAGATGTATAGAACAGCCTTTTGGACTCTGTGGGAGAGGGCGAGGGTGGGATGATAAGGGAGAATGGTGTTGAAACATGTAAATTATCATATGTGAAATGAATCGCCAGTCCAGGTTCGATGCATGATACAGGGTGCTCGGGGCTGGTGCACTGGGATGACCCAGAGGGATGGGATGGGGAGGGAAGTGGGAGGGAGGTTCAGGATGGGGAACATATGTACACCCATGGTGGATTCATGTCAATGTATGGCAAACCCAATACAATATTATAAAGTAAAATAAATAAATAAATAAATAAATAAATAAAACGGGGGGTGGGGGAGAATAAAAGTAAAACTTACCTATCCACAGGATAGGTAAGAACCTTCCAACCACCCGTCAAATATTTGATGTTCCTCTGCAAGAGATTGAAACACGGGAGTTTCAAAAGAGACTGTGGATAAATCAAAGTTGAACTACCAAGCATAAGTGCTCAATAAATGAATTAATAAAAATAAATAAAATGAATCAGCTTCACACTTAATGTTAACATTAATATCATTGGTATCATACATGAGGACAAGATTCTAGGCTCAATGAACCAGGGTCCTAGCCAGCAGCTTAATCACTACGGTAATTCTTTTGTCCTTTGTGATTAGCAACAACATGCAAAATTTAAAGAATAAGTCAAATTTGGTTTTTCTTTCAGTTAATATTTAACTTGTTTGTTATCTTTATGAGGTTGCTAAGTTAAAAAAATAATTACTGTTCACCAAGAAATTGATTTTCAGACTGATTTGGCTTAAGTATGGTCACTTGGACTTTGATCACTGGCATTTCATCAGAATATCTCAATTTTCCATACACTCTGGAATATCATGTTTCAGAATCCCCTCTCAAAAGCATTTCTTTAAGAATGAGATTGGGGTGTTTTTTTTTTTAATTCTTGATTGAGAAATCGAAAATATACCTAAAGTTCAAGTAATTAATTCTTTCCTCCTTTTTTATTTCTCCTTAAAATCCACTCCTTAAAATCCATTTCTCCTTAAAATCTCCTTAAAATGTCTGCCCCAGCTTTACATGAAAGTAAGTAACTGAGAAGCAGGGTTTAGTTAGGGGCATGGACTCTGAGTGTATCAAGTGGATATCTGAAATTTGAGTATTTTAGAAGAGAGGTAAGTAGAAGCAAAGGCTGTTGCAAGGCTAAGAACCAATTTATCTAATAAAGTTATCCAGTATTAACAAGTTTTCCTCTGTTTATACTTAATTCTAAATCTGTTTACTGAAGAGATTATGCCTTCAGTACCAGCCATTAGAAGCTACTTGAAAATAATATTTTCTATTTAAAAGAACCTTATTTCAACCTTGGAAGTCAGGGTGTGTTAACAATTTATCACTTGGTTTTATAATTAAGATGTAAGAACAGTTTAAGAATTTAGTAATTGCTTTTCCTTTGCTTGGACCATTTATCCTGATATATACAAATATAACAATTTTAATATCCTAGTACTAATATTCATAAACCATTTCAAATAATTTTAATTTTTAATAATCTAAAGTTCCAAAATTAAAAGGATTAGTAGATTTCACCACCCAAATACAAGTATCTTCACATTTGCATATTACCTTTCTGTTCTTATTCAAAGACTCTCTTGCTTTTTACATCATTGCAGTGCTAGAGTAGATACATCCCACTTCAAATAATTTATTTCTACTTCCACATTTTCTACTGTCTTAAGTCTCACTGTGGAGACAAATAATATTTTACCCTGTATATATAACATCATTTATTAATGATGCTTTATGGTTATATGTTATTGAATGTATTTGCTATTGAACAAAATGCTACCAAGATCATCTATATAGTTTGGGGGGGCTTTACTATTACCAATACTTTGTGCCATATCTCTTCTGAAATTGTTGAGGAGCTGTCAGAGTCACAGCAAAGAGTGATAGCATTCTCCAAAGGTTTTGACTCAAGAGAGTTTAATGAAAGGACTATGCACCAGTGTGTGGGCAGGACCAAGGGCACTAACAAGAAAAGTGAAGCACACAGAAAACAGCAACAGTAAGAAAGCCTTACCAACCTATTAAAACCGAAGTGCAAAGACAGGGAGCCTAGTGAGACGTGGAACGGTAGACAAAGGGGTACCCAAAGATGAGTTGTGATTATGGATGAGCACAGCCATTACTAGAACTGTAGCAAAGGTAGGAAAGGAGGGATAAACACTGCTCCTTCTCTCTCCTGCTTTCCCATCTCCTGCCTCGCTACCAACTGGATGAGCTCAAATGGAAGCCAGGAAAGTGGGGGGTAGGGGAGGAGAGAGATGCGGCCTGGTGATGTAGTACATAGTAGGTAACTTCCTGGGGCACAGAGAACGTATTTTCATGACGAGGTGGGATGGTAGCCAGAAACTACTAGTACAGAACTCTGTGCTATGCTGTGCATAATCGCTCAGCTGTGTCCGACTCTTGGCAACCCCATGGACTGTTGCCCTTCAGACTCGTCTATCCATTGGGATTCTCCAGGCAAGAATCCTGGAGTGGGTTGCCATGCCCTCCTCCAGGGGATATTCCTCACACAGGATCGAACCCACAGATTCTTTCCCATTTGAGCCACCAGGGAAGCCCAAGAATACTGGAGTGAGTAGACTATCCCTTCTCCAGGGGATCTTCCCAACCCAGGAATTGAACCGGGGTCTCCTGCTTTGCAGGCGGTTTCTATACCAGCTGAGCTACCAGGGAAGCCCTACAGAAGCACTATATTTTATTTATTCAAAAACTGAAGCAGAATAATATTTACATACTTAAAATTTCAAAAGTCTCTCAACGCTCTCTGTCCCCTTTCCTGATTTATTTTACTGTATAGCACTTGTCATGCTTTAACATATTTTATAATATATTACTTTATTTTACTTTCTAACCCTCTCACAAGAAAGCTCTTTGAAGGCAGAATTTTCTTTTTTCTCCACTGCTGTGACCTCAAGATGACTTTGTTGAATGAATGAATATATTAAGTGTGTTTAGTGAACTAAAGAAGAAATCTTCAGAAAGGAATCTTTAAAAATATAAATAACTAAAAAGTAAAAGTAAGACTCACTCTGAATATTTAAAAGTTATAATATGGATTTTTCAAAGTAAAGTTCTTGTTAATTATGCCTTTTTCAAATACACTGTAATAATCACAACAAATAAAGGGACTCAAATTTAACATAATATGTAATAACAGTAAAATCAACAGAGTGCTTTCTTACTTAAAACCAATGCCATTAATATAAGATAATACCAGAAAGAATTAAAAACAGCACAATAAATAAATGCTTTACGTGAACTGATTGTCCTTTAGAATGGCATATCTCTGAGTTGAAAGTTAAGACATACAGGAACTTCCCAGGTTGTCCAGTGGCTAAGACTTCAACCTCCCAATGCAGGAGACCCAGGTTTGATCCCTGGGTTGGGAGGATCCCCTGGAAGAGGGCATGGCAACGCACTCCAGTGTTCTTGCCTGGAGAAGGCCCATGGACAGAGGAGCCTTCTCCTTGTGGGCTACAGTCCACGGGGTCTCACAAAGTCAGACACAATTGAGCAATTAAGCACAACACAGCACAAGAGAACTAGATCCCACATGCCACAACCAAGAACTGGTGCCGCCAAATAAATAAATAAAAGATAAGATACACATCACAGTTTTAATGCTATTGCTTTTCTGTCTAAGCTCAGATCTTCTTTCTGTTCACTTGTTTTTTATTTAAGATTAAAGCTTTGAGAGACTAATGGTCCAGGATGAAGCAGATAAATAATGTTTATCCAGTCCCTACTATGTGCCAAGCACTCCAGTAGGAGCACCGCACACAAATTGTGGCAGATTGATGATAATTAATGTGTTTCTCATTTCACCCCCACCTTCACCACATCTCTAGACACTAGAATTTAAGCTCCATAAAAGCGAGACCTTATCTTTCTTGTTCACCATTGTATGACCAGTTGCTCCAGTTGCACATGGCCCACAGCTGATGCTCTGTAAGTATTTGTTTGATGAAAGTTTGCACTCCTTGGCAGCAAAACTATATCAGGGAATTTGTAAGTCATTTCATTAATATCAGAATAGCAAATGACTTTGTGATTAAATCAGTAATAATATAATAAGTATATGAGACTTTTATAATACATTAGGCAATAATCATGTGAACCAATCACATCAATGATCCTATTTAACCCTTAAGAAATAAAAAATAATAACATTACCATAAACTATTACCATATACCACTACATTTTTATTGACAGTCCTTCCACCAAACATTTGTAGATTCCTACTGCACCCAAGGCAAGTGATGAACATTAAGATTTAACAAAAGGTAGTCTTTCCCTTAATAAGCTTCTGAGTTAGCAAAGATGAGACATACTTGTGTAAGAGAGATAAAAGAAAGATGCTCCTGGTACAGAGGATGTTGAGTGAGATTACCTGGCTCAGGATCCCCAATTCCCCACCTGGTAGCTGCTTGTCCTTAAACATGCTACTTTTCCTTGCAGCAAAAGCTTCAGAAACATTAAAACAAGGATAACAACAGCACATATTTCACAGTGAGAATTAAATAAAATATAAAGAATATAATGTGCTTTTTTTTAGCAAAATACCAAACATATAGCGAGAACCTAAGTAAGTGCCAATCAACTTTAGTGCTTCAGTTCCTATTAAAGTATTATTTGACTTAATTAACTTCCATGAAGTTTGTTTTACATAAAATCAATAAAACATTTGCTAGTATTATCTCTGATAATTGATCATCAAGACCCATTCTTATGTCACAAATTATAAATAGTCTGATTGGACAAAAAGTAATCTGCATCTCAACTTCACAGTACATGCTTCAACAAACAAGAAAATTACTAATTAACATTACTGAGTAAAATGTGACCATATGGGAATGAGTAGCCTTCCCCACTGAATTATGGGGAAAGCAAAGCTTCCACTAAAAAGGGAGAATCATCTGAAGAAATATCAATTATGTAATACTATTTTTCATATACTTGCTTCTGGCACTAATCAAGATCAAATGCCTTCTTCTACAAGGCAACTATGCTTTGATTTATAATAGTGTCTTTAATCATAAATGTTTGGGTCAGAAAGTCTTACAGAGTAAAATACTGTAGGAAACACATTGGAATAGTATAATAATTATATAAAACATGGATCACTTATTAGTACTTGAACAAGATATTTTTCCTAGAAAGTAATAATCTTGTAGGTTTTTACGTTCACAGATGTAACATTTAAAGTACAGAATCAAAAGATTGATATTTCTAATTCAGATATCATCACATAAATACATAAAACCATTAAAGAGATTTATCTGTTTTCTGGTTTATCCCACATTTCAATCTGTTTTCCACTAATGAAGTATCTAAGAAACAGAAACCAAAAAGTCCTAATTATTCAAGCATGCAATTAAAATTCACCATTAGAAGCCTTCTGAAAGAAGTTTGACAGTGAAACAATTGGCCTGGGTTTAATCCTATACACACACAAAAATGTTGTCTCTTCATTTATCTTTATTATAGTAAGAGTATTAGAACATGTGGGAGGGAAATGGCAACCCACTGCAACATTCTTGCCTGAGAAATCCCATGAACAGAGGAGTCTGGTGGGCTACAGTCCATGGGGTCACAAAGAGTTGGACACAACTTAGCGACTAAACAGAAGTATTATAAAATGTAAATATGTGTTAAAACTGCTAAAAACTCTGGAACAATATTTTTTAAATTAATTTATTTTTAATTTAAAAAGTTAAAGTTGACTTATTCTAGACATCATTTGACAGAGTACATCAAAAAGAAGTAAAATATTATGAGATTTTTGTTGCAAGCCAGACTCATATACTTTCAAAGGAAAAGTGAGCATTGTTAAATGTCTTCAAGATTAATGGTAAGACACTCTGAATTGACCATGTCACAAAATAGCAAAGGAATGTGTAACTTATACAGTCTTCACATATATATGCTATGATTTTTAGAGACAGTTTTCATTTTGACTATTTATTCATACAGTAATATGCTGTGTTAGTTGCTCAGTCATGTCCATCTCTTTGTGACCCCATGGACTGTAGCCCACCAGGCTCCCAAAAAAATAATGTTTCATTTCATCATCTTGTTTTATTCGGATTTAAGCACATAGCTATGGCATGTTGAGTTTTTAAGGAGCAAAGTCAGTCCAGTTGAATGAGTTTGGGCTCCTTATTCCATATTTGAATTTAATTTTCCTGGAAAGGAAAAATAGTTATAGCAGCACCTGGTATGGTGCCATAAACATAGTGAAGGATTAATAAATATGTATCACTGTTGAAATTAGAAGAAACATTGATCACTCATGGGTATGCTGGAATAGGACCATACTGCTTGCACAAAAGTATAAATGTTTGGTGTGGCATCTGAATTTTTAGACATTTTTTGTAAATCATATTGTGTAGGAGGGCTAATCTGCTACAGAAAGTATAAAACAGTATTGATAACTATGATTAAGATATATTAAAATACAAAGAACTGTTTAGAAAAGCAGACTCCACAGGCTGCTGAAAATTCTTACGCTTTTGTGTTGTGATCCGACTGGCCTTGGCAGCAGATTCAGAAGAGAACCCCAGCTGCAGACCTGTAGGAGAGACAGGAGTAAGCCAAGACTGTGGAGGCAGGGCCAGCATGACGGACAGAGCTCCCCCCAATTTCAGCTTCTAAGGGGACTCAAAAACTTGAGTCCAGTCCAGATGAATGCTGATAGTCATCATCTCCTGAGGGGGAGCTGAGGGGGAGCATGGCACTGGAGAATGGTTATGTGGGAAATGTTATTATCCAACGGATGACAGTTTTATGTTTACAGAGGAAGGGGATATCTGGCTCGTAAGACGGCCTCAGCCAGTGGGCGGCAGAGAGGAGAATATCAGGATATCATCCAGATCCCCCAGAGAGAAAGAGCTGGCAAGACGAGTGAGGTTCTGAGGCCCAGACGATTTGGCCAGGGTTCAGGGCTGCAATCCATTACCAGCAAAAAACGAAGTGCAAATGCAGAACAGAGGCAAGAGTCAAGGTACACAGTGGGGCCGGGGTCAGGACCAACGAGCTTACCACTGGTGGCCACATAGATGTTTACATGGGTTCACTCAACAGCAGGCTTAGGACAACAGATGAGTCCCAGACATCGTTTACTGATAGGAATGGACTCCTGACACCCTGCCAAGCTTGAGTCTCATCTGAGTAACAACTGGATGGTGTTGTGTCTACAGGTCGATGTCATGCAGTAGCTGCTTGTTGGGCACAGCTACACAGGGGCTGTCGGTCTTCCCTGGCGGCTCAGCGGTAAAGAGTCTGCCTGCAGTGCAGGAGACCTGGGTTCGATCCCTGGGTCGGGAAGATCCCCTGGAGGAGGTCATGGCAACCCACTCCAGTATTCTTGCTGGAGAATCCCATGCACAGAGGAGCCTGGTGGGCTACAGTCCATGGGGTCACACAGATTTGCACGCGATTGAAGCGACTAAGCAGCAGCAGCAACATGCAGGGGCTGTCATTAATTATTTATTTTGGAATAAATTTAAATCAATCCAAAACTGTATTAAAATTGGAGACTCATTTATATACTAGAACGTTAAAGCCACAAAAAGTACCTTTGCCTTTTTGTTCACTGAAGTAGGCCATGTGCCTAGCTGGCACATGGTTAGCATTTAACAAGTATTTGTCAAATTAAAGAATAAATTAGACATATATTAAGTGCCATGCAAATGACCTGAAAGCTTCTATGTGTGCCTGAAGGCGACCCTTATCTCCTGGAGCCACAGGGCTGAAATTGCTGAAAATCAAACTCAGAACTCCATGTACAAAAGCAACAGGAAGGCCAGGCTGGCCACCCAACTTTATGCCACCTTGAAGAGATGATCTCTGATGGCAAAGGCTACTAGGGAAGGGAAAAATTAAAAGTTTTATTCCCTCCCAAGCTCACTTCAGTTGTTCTGTTTCAATATCAGATCTTATGATCACTATCAGTCCTCTATAGTCAATCTAAGAAATCTGCAAACTGAATTTATTGATACTCCTATATAGGGCCATTCATCCATAAGTTCGAGACGGGGCCAGGACATAATTTTTTAAGTGACATACTATGAGTGAGAAAAAAGTGTCATCATTACTTTATTTATATAAATTACCTACTTTTCTCACATATAGGTTCACATTAAAATGAGTGGGGAAGGAGTAAGAATAAAAACTCTTCAACCTTAGTCCCAAGGCTAATCTTATATATCTTAATATTTTCAATCCCATTTGTTAAAAATTCATATTAAGGGAGGTTGAAACATCGGGGGTACCAGGCATCAGATGGCATCATCAAACAGATGTATGCCACATCCATTAAAAGCAGCCAAGTCTGTCCAGCAGCAGTAAATCGGAGCACATGGCATTCCTTCCATATGGCCTATTTCCTGTTACCTTATCTTTCTTGCTGATTCCTATTATTTGGATCCCATTTGGGGTTTCTAGTGTTTTTTTCTATTTGACTCTCAACATTGCTCCCTCAATAATAATTGCCTCTGAATCTACCGCACAGCCACTTTCCCTTTACATTATTTCTGAGGGCACCAGCAGATTTCTAGGACTGATTGCAATGTGCCTAAGTCTGGTGTTGGTATGGTCTGTGAAGTACATGGTGTTAGGATCCATGAGTGTGCCATGGAAAATATATCAAGATGGGCATAAGATCTAAAACTGGATTATAGTGATCATTACACAATGTATACATACCATTGAACCACATACTTAGAATAGGTGTATCTTATGATTCATAAGTTATACCTCAGTAAAGCTTAGAAGAAAAAGTTTGTTCAGATAATGGAAGTAGGTGGGACAAGGTTGGACTGATACTGAATTCATCTGAAGAATGATGAAGATCTATCATCAAGACAAGGGCTGACCACATAGAAATCTAGCTCAATGGAGCAAAGCATGGGATCTATCAGTTACATCAGTTCCCAGTCATGGGAAGACTGGGAAACTATTGAAAAACCCAATTGTTTTGGTATTGGTCATTCAGCATAGTTGACATTGGGACTCCAACACTGGGTCTCAGTCTCTGGGAAGAACAGTGCAACAAGAATAATGCAACAAGAGTTTGCATTTGTCATTTCGAGCCTTGGTATGTAAACCAACTCTGTCTGATTTAAGGACACAAAAAAATGATTTATTACCAAGGTATGTGGGCTTCCCTAGTGTCTCAGCTGGTAAAGAATCCACCTGCAATGCGGGAGACCTGGGTTCAATCCCTGGGTTGGGAAGATCCCCTGGGGAAGGGAAAGGCTATCCACTCCAGTATTCTGGCCTGGAGAATTCCATGGACTGTATAGTCCGTGGGGTCCAAAGAGTCGGACACGACTGAGCGACTTTTCACTCATGTTGTTGTTGCTGTTCAGTTGCTAAGGTCTGTCTAACTCTTTGAGACTCCATGGAATGTAGCCCACCACCAGGCTCCTCTCTCCTTGGGATTTCCCAGGCAAGAACACTGGAGTGGGTTGCCATTTCCTTCTCCAGGGGATCTTCCTGACCCAGGGATCATACCTGTGTCTCCTGCATTGGCAGGAGGATTCTGCCGAACCACCAGGGAAGCTCCTTGCAAAGGCATGAAGTCATTCATAGAATGGAATAAAAAGCTGAACAATCCAGCAATGGTGAGAACACTACAGGAAACAGGACAATTCCAATAATCCAGTAGTCAGAATGAATGAATTCTCTCTTTGGAGCATAGCCATCAGTCTAATAATCAGCAACTGTGTTACTCCATTCAAGATTTAATTTCCAGAGAGAGGTCTGATTGTCCTTGCTTAGTTCAAGTGTTCATGTCTTGACCTTAAAAGGGTAAAGTTCTTTCACTGACATCCCCTCCAAAAGCACATGCAATGGGAGAGGCATTCTTTTCCATAAGAAAATCAATGTATTTTCACCAAAATAAGAAGGGAGAGGTGTTGGGCAGAAAACACACACATGTACATGTCCTTTATTCTAAGATATTACCAATGCATGAAATTTGAAGTTTATTTTCTAGATAATCTGACCATGAAAGTCAGGGCCTCTGCAGCTAGTATAAGATTAGAATAATTGCTGTAGTTTCTCAGAAAAGAGGCTAGAAAGAACACAACTGGGCCTCAATTCTGTAAGAGTACTGGAGTTACTACAAGGAAAACTAGAGGTTGGGCATAAACAATCTAACTTTATAAATAGGGTGAAGAAGGGCCATGGGAGGAAGATTCAGATGCCCAAATCTCCAGAGAAAAGAAATGAGTAGCTATGACTCAGAGAGCAAAGACAGAATGTGGTGATCATTCCAGGGCAACAAACGTGTCCAGCATACATTAGACTAGTAGTCAGCCCACAGCACTCACATCTGTCCTCTCTCATTACTCCCAGCCAAGTTCCCAGTGGGTTTAAGTCAGTTTAACCAAGACTTTCTTCCAGTAGAATGAGTTCAGTAATTAGGGATCAGTGTTTATTAGTAAACTCAGTTGTGTTTTTTCCAAGAAATTTTCAAGTTTAAGAAATTAAAGTTCTTGAATTTCTAAGAAGTAAAGATTAAAATAAAAACTAGTGGTAAGGAGGTTTTCAGTTTTTAAGAATTTTAACAGAGGCTTTGACATTTTCTGAGTGATACAGAAAGAACAAAATTCAGTCAAGATAGAATTAGTTAGTGCCTGTTGTCTATAGAGCATGTGACAGATAGTGGAAATATAAAGATGAACAGCCACCATCATTACCCTCAAAGTACTTGCTAGAGACTGAATGTTGGCATCCCTGCCTCCCCTGACTCCAGTATTCATATGTTAAATCTTAATGCCCAAGGTGACATTATTTGGAGATTGGGCCTTTGGGGTGATTAGGTCATGAAGATAAAAAACTCATGAATGGGTTAGTGCCCTTTTAAGGAGGCTCCAGAGAGCTCCCTTACCCCCTCTGTCATGTGTGGACACAGAAAGAAAATAGCAACCAGGAAGTGGAACCTCACCAGATATCAAATTGGTCAGCACCTTGATCTTGGACTTTCCAGACTCTAGAACTGTGAACCAGTCCATCCTAAAGGAGATGAGTCCTGAGTGTTCATTGGACAGACTGATGTTGAAGCTGAAACTCCAATACGTTGGCTACCTGATTCGAAGAGCTGACTCATTTGAAAAGACCCTGATGCTGGAACTATTGAGGGCAGGAGGAGAAAGGGCCAACAGAGGATGAGATGGTTGGATGGCATCGCTGACTCGATGGACATGCGGTTGGGTAAACTCTGGGTGTTGATAATAGACAGGGAGGCCTGGCATGCTGCAGTCCATGGGGTCCCAACCTAGGTACCGAACCCACATCTCCTACATTGGCAGGTGGATTTTTTACCACTGAGATACCTGGAAAGCCTTCTGTCATCATACACAGTTACAAGAACTTTTTTCTTATGATTATGAGGACTTTTAAGATCTACTCTTCTTGGCAACTTTCATATATGCAATATATTATTATTAACCATAGTCATCATGCTATACATTAATACACAGGACTTATTTATTTTATAACTGGAAATTTTTACCTTTTGACTCACTTTTAACAGGTGGACAACATAGGCAATAAGCATTCCAG